GGGGAAAAGATATGTCAAAATAAATGGAAGTCACTTCAGAAAAAAAAAAAAAAAAGAAACACAAAGTGTTGGCCAATTCTTATGTTCTACTTGATTCTAAATTTCTGAGGCATAAACAGCATCATAGTTTGCAGAAAAATAACAAGCATAAAATATCACAGAGAGCTTTTCTTAGAGAATTGCAATTGCAATTGATGAAAGATCAATTATATGAGAGGAATAATAGTATGTACCTGCCCAAAAATCTCTGCAAGGAATTCTAGGACAGATCAATGAAGAGATAGGTGAAACATCACAAGAATTTCCTAACAAAGCAGCAAGCCCAGTAAGATAGCATGTATGGCCTCCAAATGGACAGGAGAACAAAACACTTGTGCTGTCAGTGTAAGTGGTACTTGTATATGAAACTTTATTTTCATAAAGTGAAAATAATTAGTGAATAGAAATACTCCTAAGCTGGGGAAGTTGCTCAACAGTGCAGCACCTGCCTAGCAAGTGCAAGGTCCTTCATTTGCCTCTACGAAAGAAAAGGGCATACTCCTAAAACAAATGTGGGTGTTATATAACCAGCCAATGCTCCTTCTTCAGGAAATTTAACCTCACACACCCAGAAGGCCAACGTGACCTTATTTCCCTCTTGGCTGGTTTGTTTTCTATGTAGGGTACATTCCCTGAGGGTCTTTATCATATATCTAAAGAAGTACAGCAGATCATTTCATATGCAGAGTTATTTCTCAGGGAAACAAGGAATGTGACATTGATGTAATTTGGCTCAAAGATAACAAACTCAAGAAATTAGCTGCTTAATTTCATTGAGAGTTGGCAGTATTTTACCGATGTTGGAATTCTGTCATTCTCTGCACTTGTGTGTGAGTTCAGGCTAATGAAACTTGGTGAGAGAAAAGATTTCGGAAAAGATTCTTTTCTATTTCAGAGGAAAAGTCATTACAAAAGAAAAACACTTGTGACCATTTTCCCTGGTGATCTGATGTGAAGTGGACAGAGTCTGAGTGTCTTGGGATTCTCAGAGGGATATCTCATGATAATCTTGCCTGGGCTGCAAGGTTGCTCTCTGGTTCCATCTCATTGAGGAAAGTGCTGTCAAGATGTCTCATCAGGCTCCTAAAGAGGGTGTGAGAGGTGCCTGCAGGAGCTCTTTGTGCCTTGTTTCTGAGGAGAAGCTCAAGTGAAGTCTCTGTGAAGATTCCCTGTAAGTTTTCCAATTACATGTTGTGGGATCTTCTGGGAAGCCTCTCTGCGGGGTCTGCGAGGTCTACATGGTGGGGGGGCAGGGACTTCTCTGTGTGGCTTCTACATAGGTATCTGGGAGAGGTCTTGGTGGGAGATCTCCCTGTCAGGTCTCTGTGAGAATGCTCCAGGGGAAAACTCAGTGGAAGGTTCAGGGTCAGGGCCTATGGGGCACAGGGTGTCCCTGAGGGGTCTGTGTGCAAGGGCTCTATGGAAAGTCTGTGTAGGTGCCCTGCATGGTCTTACTTGCAGCAGCTCTTCAGGAATCGCTATGTAGGTTCTCTGAGTGGCAACAGGAGGAATTATGCCATGTGAGGATCTTGTGGGAAGTCTCTGAGGGAGGTTTCAATGTACAAAATGGTCGCTCATGGGACAGAGAGACATTCCTGTTTGCTGTCCCTTTCTCATGGGAGGTGTTCTGGGAGGTATCTGGATGTCTACACTGTGGGTTTCACTGCATCTTGTGGAGACTGATCGACAGAAGGAGAAAACAAAGTACTCCTCTGTGTGTTCTGCCTGGCCTATTGCTTAGCCATCTTGTGGCACTTTTCCTGGCAGGAGCACAACGTCGATGTCCAGGTCCTCCACATGACAGAACATTGCTGATGGTGTCCTGAGAACCCAATAGCGGTCATGACCTCCTAGCTCAGCCTGAGGTCAGGGTCCCCAGTGTGTGGCGCTTTCTTCTCAGCTCCCAGGGATGGACCACTCTCTGGCTCAGTATCCAGCCCCACCTTTAGGTCCTGGCTCTTCTCTCATGGCTGGGTCCACTCTGCTGGATATTCCTCTTGCCTGCATCGATCTCAGGGATGAGGCTGTTGGAACTGTGGCTATGTGTCACCCAGCATAGAAAATGCTCTCTGGAGAAATGGTTGCTCATCTCTTTGCCTTTCTGATCTCTCTCCTTTCCCATAAGGACACAGTCACAGCGGAAGGGAAACCCATGCTAGAAACAGAGTGAGAGCAGAGCAGACACCCTTTGTGGGCTGGCCCCTGCCCCTCGCCATTTGTCCAGGTCACGTCCCACCCTCCTGTGTGTCAACCCCTAGTATGATGCCCCTTGTCCTTTTTTCTGTTGTCTCTGGAGTAAGGAAAGGCTGTGTACAGCACCAAGTCCCTGTAGCAGGATGTCTGAATGCCCTGACCAGGAAGTGGAGGAGATTTCCAGAGGCAGGTATCATTTATTCCCCAGGAAAAGAGTAAGGGCAAGGTCTTTATGGCCTCAGACTCAGGGCACAGTTTCATCCCATGCCCCCTGCTACCCACTCTAGGACAGGTGTGGCCATAGGCCCTACCCTTGCTGGAGTCTGTGGGGCACTTTTAGCCCAATCTATCACTCCTCCTGATCCTTACATCTCCCTTAAGGACGTGGGAGCCATGGGAAAATGGTTGAGCCAGACCTTGTGGTAGGATCATCCTGTTTCCCTCAGTTGTGAGAGTTTCATTTTGTTTCTGAAATGATGATGGTAAGATAGCTGTAGCCTCTGGGGGTGGCTGCATAGCCCTGGTTTCTCCTGTGCTCTAAGGGTCCAGAAAGATGTTGGCTGCAGAAAATGCCAGATACTGAGTTTTCACCCTTCTCTACTTCAGTCTGATTTAGCTTTAGATACTGAAGTCATAAAGTTCATGCTGAACTCACTGGTTGGCTTTCTTCATTGACACAGAATTTTGCATGGTTAGTTGAGCCTCAGCATTGTTGCAGCCCACACTTAGGCTGCTTTTGTCCAATCTCTGGCTCTGGGCAGGGTAGGATGCAGTCTTGTCTTTCCTCTGGGGTTCATCGGGCCAATTTTATTTCATTTTGGAAAAATTCACACTAGAAAGGTCTTCATGCTTCTTTGGTAGAAGCCTTCCATAAGAACTGGTTTCTTCTGTGGCAGGAAACATACTATTTCCCAACCCAAAATGACTAATTAATAATCGAGTATTTGCTCTTCAGTAGTGATTAATTAAACTAATCCTAAAACAAATAATATCAATACACTCTACTAAAGGATGAACTTGATCTTTAATACTAATCTCACTAATCCTGTTTATTGGAACAACCAATTTATTAGGATTATTGCCACACTCCTTCACCCCCACTACCCAATTATCTATAAATTTAGGAGTAGCAATCCCTCTTTGAGCGGGGGCTGTAATCTTAGGCTTCCGACATAAAACAAAAATATCTTTACCTCACTTCCTTCCCCAAGACACACCTATTCTTCTCATCCCTGTATTAGTTGTAATTGAAACAATTAGCTTATTTATTCAACCTATAGCTTTAGCAGTCCGTCTAACTGCTGATATTACTGCCGAACATTTATTAATGCATGTAATTGGAGGGGCAACCTCCGTACTACTTACAATTAGCCCTCTGGCGGCTTTAATAACATTTATTATTCTCCTCTTAACTATTCTTGAATTCGCCGTAGCGTTAATTCAAGCCTATGTGTTTACACTACTAGTTAGCCTTTACCTACACGACAATACTTAATGACCCACCAAACACATGCATACCACATAGTTAACCCAAGCCCTTGACCCCTTACAGGAGCGTTATTGGCCCTTCTACTTAACTCAGGTATAATTATATGATTTCATTTTAATTCAACCTTACTCTCACTAAGTATATTAACCAATCTCATAACTGTGTATCAATGATGACGAGATGTAGTACGAGAAGGAACATATCAGGGCCACCATATGTCCATCGTACAAAAAGGCCTTCGTTATGGGATAATCCTCTATTATCTCGGAAGTGTTCTTCTTCTCAGGTTTCTTCTGAGCATTTTATCACTCTAGCCTAGCACCTACCCCAGAATTAGGAGGATATTGACCCCCTACAGGCATTAACCCCTTAAGCCCCCTAGAAGTCCCACTACTAAACACATCCGTAGTACTAGCCTGAGGTGTATCAATTACTTGAGCTCATCACAGCTTAATAGAAGGCAGCTGAAAACAAATAACGCAAGCCCTTGCAATTACTATTATTCTAGGGGCCTACTTCACTCTACTTCAAGTCTCCGAATACTTCGAAGCCCCTTTTACTATCTCCAATGGGATTTACGGCTCCACATTTTTTGTTGCAACAGGATTTCATGGACTACACGTAATTATTGGATCAACATTCCTAATAACATGCTTACTACGCCAACTCTACTTCCATTTTACTTCTAAGCACCATTTCGGATTTGAAGCCGCAGCCTGATATTGACATTTCGTAGATGTTGTATGATTATTCCTTTATGTTTCTATTTATTGATGAGGTTCATGCTTTCTTAGTATAATTAGTACTGCTGACTTCCAATCACCAAGTTCCATTAATATAATGGAAGAAAGCAATAAACATCATCATATCTCTCATTACCAAATATACACTAACCATAATCCTTATTACAATCGCATTCTGACTTCCCCAGCTCAATATTTATACAGAAAAAGCTAGCCCTTACGAATGTGGGTTTGGACCTACAGAAATTACACGACTCCCATTCTCTATGAAATTTTTCCTAATCGCCATTACCTTTTTATTATTAGGGGCTCAGTGGGTTTCCATTCCAGCTTGGCTGAGTGTGGAGGTTCCCTTGCCTTCAAGCATTTTCGGGATGTGTCTCTTACAGGCCTCACCCTTGTCATTTGGAGGCCACATCTTTTCCATCCTCTGTGGGTGCTGATTTCTTGGAATCCTGAGCTTCGATTGACCCAGGATCTTTCCACTGTCTTCTATTAGATCACCTAACTTCTGTGACGCTATCATGTCCTTAAGAGTCAGGCTATGGAGATGATACTGGGATGCCAGAGAGGACAAATTGATTGAATCTTTGCTAGAATCAATAGAAGAATCTAGAAGGGCCACATCAGAAATACAGACTTGGGCCTTGTTCATTAACTTTACCTTCACTGTATTGTGAAATTCATTCCTGATGCCTGGCTGAGGACCTGGCTCTGCTCTTTCTTGGACAATACACACTACAGGCACTGCAGAAACTTCTAGACTGCTTCCGCTTGTGCTCAGGATGCTTCTGTTCTTCCATGTCATGCTGGGGAGACTGTGCATCAGTGACTGGGAAGGATTCCTGCTGCCCTGTCCAGCTGAAGGGACCTTTAAGGGGCCCTGAGCATCATCAGGTGGATCCCTTTAGGGCCCCTCTCAGTCTCCTTCTTCATGGCTGAGGAGACAAGGAGTCTGCATAGTGTAGGGACAAACTCATTGGGTGTCACCTCCTCTGTTGCATCTGCTGGAGGTGCTATTTTCAGGGGATCTCTGCACATTCGCTGTTGAGATAGGAGAAGCTATCCATGTCTGAAAGGATATTGTAATTAAAAGTAGCCACCTCACCCAGTGGCTGCCAATATAAAGTTTGTATTGAGGTCAACCCACCTGACAGTAAATGATGAGTTGTTTAGCTTTCATGATGTCCCAGAAACTGAGGATGTTTAAGTTCTCAGGAGAAATCCAACTGGTGTGTTGTTGCAGTTTGGAAGAAATATTTCATATAATGACAAAATAAGGATGAGCCAAAAGACTGAAACTGTAGCATAGCCACAGAGAGAGTTGATACAATTTGTTGGGGTGGAACAGATTGACAAATGTCCATCAGTCCAGTGGATTGTCACAAAGAGGACAGAGGAACGTACAACAGAGGATGTAAGTAAGGCCTGGAATGAGAGAGATTTCTGATG